GGGTGGGGAGGTCTGTCACCTTGTAAATGGGGTGTGACTAGTTGACACGTTTTTACACATGTACCTTGCAGAAATAATGGGTTCCTTCACAAACCTGCATTTGTAGTTGGTCCTTCAGTGAGGCTACTTCATTGTTCTTGGCATGAAGTTGGTTTTGGTACATGGCTAACTTCTGTGCTGCTGTCTTTTCACCTTCTTCTTTCTCTTGTAGAATTCCTTGTAACTGTGACACTTGCTCTCGCAGTTGTAAAATAATACTTGAGTTTGAAAATGCAGAGTCCTCACCTCCAGCTCTGAGGGTCAAAAATGAATTGTTTTCAATTTCCTTAATAGGATATCATAAATATTAACTGTGAATGAAAGCACATTGCTTGTGACTTCTACACTTTCTGGCAAGGTTATGGTAGTTTTGTCTGTTAAAAAGGCACAATTCATTTAAGCTTCTCAACATTAGTCAGTAGACAAGGTGTTAAACCATAAAGCATCAAAAAGGTGCCCAAGGTATCAAACTTGTGATCCATAGTTAGGGACACAAAAAAAACAAATGAAATTCTACTTTGAAGTTAAAATCCATTGCTGGGTTATTTAGATGTGTCATCTTTTTACCATACCTTAAACCACCACTGGATTGCAGAGCTCCCTTAAGATCAACAACCTCATCTCTAAGAGCAGCAATAACTCCATCCTTTCGATGACATTCTGCTTCATATGAAGCCAGTCGGCTGAGTTCATCACCCATGCGTAACAGACGCTCCTCCTGATTAAATTGACAAAATTGTTACATAATGTAACAACTAATTTACATGAATATCAAAAATAGAAAGAAAAATATTTTCATGTATGATGCCTTGGACTCAGTTACTTGGACTCAGTTATGTCTGAAGACATATTCAGCTTTTTTCCTTTTCCAATTTGCCAGAACGTGTTATATTAGTTAGTTTTCTTCCTTTGCCAATTCACCAGACAGTGTTATTTCAGTTATAGTAAACTTAGTTATGTCCATGAAACAAAAGTTGTATGAACAATCAAGGGCAGAAACATACCAATTCTTGGACAGAGTTTTCCCCTGCTGTCTGCATTACACCATTCACCCAGCCACCTAAAAAGTAAACACAGAAGAACACTACTTGTACACTCCACTGTTATGATTAAATTGTATGGCAATCATCCATTAGTCAGTAGTTTGTTGCCACAAGTAAAAGCAAATTCTTTATATTTCTTAAATGATCACAATTTTTATGCAAAATATTAAATTTGAATAACAAATGAAACTCAAGGAAAGAAATGATCCTGGCAAGTACTTGTACATGAAAGCTGCAATTAAGGCAATTGCAGAAAAAGGCTTCAACAAATACAGGCTCAGACATTTAAGCCTTAATTTTTTAAGTTTTTTTTTCCCTGCAGTTGCTCAAATTGCACTCCACCAGCAAGGATCATATTGTTAAGTCTTATTTGAACATGTTTTCTCTCATTTTGCTTAAACACAGTTGATTAAAAGGAACAAAGTCAGGCCTATTTATTTGTTTTAGCCACATTCTCTCCACTTCCTCACCTCTTGTGACAGGGGGGGCAGCAGTTCTTTCCCTTCCAGCAGAGCTTGGACGTGCCTTTGTTGCACCAGCACTAGTGGGGCGTGACCTCAGGGGTGGGTGGGGCATGACATTAGCCTGCCAAGTATTAAAATACTTCATTCTTAATTTTACTGATTGAAATTATCTTATTTGGATACATGACATTTTTTGACATTTCTAACAGTTTGTCCGATAATTTTTCACCAAACCACCATTCAGCAGCTCACTTTCAGTTAGCATGTTTTCTATATGTAACCCAGTATATCCTCTGGGTAATAGACAATGTAGTTGTAAAGTGTTTCAACTAAATGACCTGGGCTTAGAGGCATAAGGTCACTACCCGATGACTTGATTTGGCAAACAAACCTTTCAGTCCATGTTAAAATACAATTTGTGGCACAAAGATTCTCAGTTCTTGTTTGAATCTTGATTGTTATAATAGTGATAATTAAAATGATAAAAGCTTAGTTTTTTGTTTGTCTCACGATGTAGTCACGTGTGATGTAGATCGCGATCTACATCACACGTGACTACGTCATGAGACAAACTAAAAACTTAGCTTTTACTTTTATTCACCATGATGAATAACCACAGCCTTTTTTATGAAATTAAAATTATAATAATAATAATAATAATACTTATATTAATAACAAAACACTGGTCTATTCATAAGGCATCTCCTGAGGAAGATCTTTGCTTGTAAAGTGCTAGAAATAGTAATACTTCAAAAGAATGCCATAAAAAGTAGTCGTAAGTACAATAAATTACAAAGCAAAAAATGCAATTAAATAAGTGAATGATTAAGTTAATAAAATTAAATAATAGATTGTATTCAATTCATAGCAATTAGAGTTGTTGACTACACATTCATGTATATTTTTGCCCTGGAAAAATAAAATAAGAGGCTTTGCAGGTACTGCCAAGTTGACAAGATGAAAGAAAGGCATAATATCATCCAATGTAGCCTCATTGGAATAATCACCCAAAAACAGAAAAAATCCAGCGTGTACCTATTACCTTATAAGATATCTAAAGGTTGTTACCTTGGTATCAGAAGTTCCCCTTAACTCTGTTATTGAGCTCCCAGTGCCAGGTGGTAAACTTACAGCTTGAGAGCTTGAAAACAACTGCATCCCTTCACTGCTAGAGGTAGTGCTGGTGCTAATGTAAGGAAGTGAGGTTACCACCCCGGATTGAATTGATGCCACAGGAGATGGTAACACACGAAGCCTGTATGATTCCCATGGTTTTGATACTGCCAAAGTTGGGTAGTGTATTGGACCAGAGGAGTCAACAAGAAATTCAAATCCTGTGTTTTCTATCAAAATTTTCACACATGTTAAGAAATGTAACTGTAAAAGTAAAAAAATTTACAAATCTACTGAAACAAAGGCAATAACTGTGCTTATCTTCACACTTGCCACCTTCACATAACAGCTAAAACAAAATTAGTCCTATATATATAAATGCTGAGTCTCAAACACATGCAAGTAATCTTATAGAGTGGCAAATAGGAAAAAAAGACAAGTGATCTACACTGCAAAAATAGTGACTTAAGTAAAATTTGTGTGTGGAGAGGGGTACAGAAAAAAAGCTCATCAAGCCTTAATTTATGCTTTACAAACATCAGACTCCCTTGTGCTAAAAAATAATGTCACTAAATGGGGGACCATTTGGAAAAATAATGAATCATCTATTAGAGCTGTGGAAATTCTGGTACTGAGTTTTCCTTATATTACAAATTACTGCTAGTTTAAAAGGATACCATATCCAAATCTAATGATATCTCCAGAAGCAAGTCTAACAGCTGCATTTTGTACACGACACTCATTGACATAAGTTCCATGCGCAGAGTTAAGATCTTGTACTACAAAACAACCTTCTGTCTCATCATATTCAATAACAGCATGCTGACGCTCCACATTGGAACACTGCTTGGAAACATAACAGTCAGGGTCAAATACATCACAATGCAAGATAACCATGGTATGTACAAAACAGCTGATCACGAATAAGACAGCTAGTGCTAGTCCCAATATTCAGCTACTGATAATATTTGGGTGACTAAATAAGTAAAAATGGATAAAAAAAATGTCTCTGGAACTAAGAAGAGAAATTAAGGGACAGTCACGGCAACAGCAGATTTTGCTCCTCTAAGCACTAGTTAGTGCCTTGTTTTTTTTGTTAAATGTCGATCAAATGACACAGAAGGAGCCGAATGTAAGCATCCCTTTTACATAAATCAATTAATGTTTTCGATGAACGTGAGAATACTGTTAAAAATACTTCTAAATTGAAGTGTTTACTATTTTATTGACAGAAACAAGGTACTGTTTCTGAGACGCGCACGTTGAAATGATTCAAAAGAAGAATAAATGTGCAGTTGAGACAATACAGAATCCATTGACTCAGAGAAAGTTATGCAAATTCTAAATATATAACCCTATTGTAAAAATTATCTCGGAATAGGGATCGACAGAGTAGTGAGTGATTAGGTATCGTTTAAATTTGTTTCACAATGCCGCTAATCGTATCAAGTTTAAATAATTCTAATACATTAACTCTAGTTCAAATTCTTAGTTTGAAAACATATGGAACAAAAGTTTACAGCAAAAACGTGAATATCGTCTTCCTCTCCAGAGCCTTTTTCTCGGAATTTTTTTTCAAGTAATTCGTGGGCTATAAAAAAGCACGTCTAACTCTTGTGGTGAGTGCGCTCACCTGGATAATAACATCACTGCCTTCACAACCGATGGTAGTAAGCGGTTGTCGAAGCTGATGAATACAGCTTCCATCTCGTGAACGAAGACACGCTTTCATTGACGGTAGAGTTATCTCATCATAACCTCGCTATTATTTCTTATTGGAACTGTAATGGATTTCGAACGATCGTAAACATTCGGTCCTTTCTGTCGGTATTTAACATGGCCGACAGCATTTGCGTTCTCACGTTGCTACGGCGACACTTATGTCAAACCCAGTAGTGCTCCGTCAACGAAAAATAACAGTGAGCCAGGGAAGGGCAGTGTTTGAGCGTAGTTGGAACGGGTCACCCTATGTGAGGTAATCCTGAACAGTATTGGATTCTGGATTCCAGGTGCTAGATTCCGGATTCCCTCTCAAATTACTTTTTAACTTTCCTTTTAAACAAAAACCAAAGTGAGGAAAAATTTAAACTGAAATACAAGTTTTGTACTACCCCGTGTATGTCGCAAATAAATCCCAGACTATGACCAAAAAAAGCTTGTTTTTCTACATGTAATTAGAAATGATGTTCGACATTATAAAACGGTGTTCAACCAACTCAACTATATTTAAACCTTTGCAAAATCGCAAAAGATCTGCATTTACACAGAAATTTTCCAAGAATAACAGGTCCTCTTTTCTATACATTTTTCTTTAAAAGGTTAACCAAGTCAAGTTACATTACTTCGGCTATGAATTCTCCAGAAAAATGATTCTATAAAGGTTTAAGGTGGCCCGTCGCTTTTTTTTTTTTTTTTTTTTTTCAAGTTTGACCCTAAAATCTGGTAATGTGTTATTTTATTCGCACTGAGATGAGATGTTTTATTAAATATTCAAATTTGTTATTTTGAATGCCAAATATCAAAGAAAGCGGCGGTTTACGTTTATATAGCGAAAATTCTCCCGGCTCCCATAGGTATATATATATATATATATCTTTGTTCAAAGTTTGTCGTAACTGGAAACGTGTGGTCCGTTGCCACGTAGGTGTTCCAAGCATACCCTGGGGAATTTGATTGCTTTTGTCACGTAAACAATTTCTTTTGTCTCTTCAAATTTGCCTACCCATTGACCACGTGAGTCAACTGCACTCCACAGCGGTTGCATTGGTCATGATAAAACGCATACTGCAGACCATGCAGACTGCGCAGACCGCGCAGACCCTGCAGGCTGTGCAATTTTTTGTTCGCTTTTTTTAGACTGTGATTTACATATGATTAAGGTGTATACACCACTTTCTTGCTCTTTTGGTAACGTTTTTCCAAGTTTCGAACTCTCGTTACCTAGCAAAGCAAAATCACAGGCTCAAGTTTCTCAAGCTCATGGAGATTAGCCCCACACGGCAAGATGTATCGCAGATGTTATTTTTGTGGACAGTGACGCTGATTTAGAGGTACGGAATGTGCTGTGTGAACGAAGTAAATGATTAACAGGATCTTCACAAGACAGCCCAAAGAACTTTACGGTAAAGAAAGTGCTGCAAGCTAAAATTGAACTTTACCAGGAATAAGATTTTTAAATCGGATTAGAAGACTGATTAATAGCTAGTAAGGAACTTTGGCCATTTCAGTATCGAAGTCGACTGGGTGATAGGTCATGACTGAATTTGTCGTTGTCACGCGGGCTGTAGCGGTCAAAATTCTGCAGCGAACAAAGCGTACTCTATATGGTCTGCACGGTCTGCAGTCTACGTTTAAGCATGATCGTGGTTGCATGGATGCGCATGAAAGCCGTTAAGACGATTTGAAAATAATCTTCAGCAAATGGATTCTGGATTCATTCTCTAGCGGGATTCTGGATTCCAATGCCCAGTATTCCGGATTCCACAAGCAAAAATTTCCTGGATTCCGGAATCCGGATTACCTTATATGGGGCGAAACGGGACGGGTTGAATATTCGTCCGCTGATTATACATTCTTGATGAGCAAATAAAAGGAACTAAGAAATTCTCATACTAATCAAGGATCAACAAAAGAAAGGAAGAAATGGCCACGAAATGATAGCAAGGTGAACAAAGGAAGAGAATAGAAACCAAAGGGAAGACAAACCGAAGGTAAAATGAGGGTCAATATAAACTTGCTATAAAGGACAGGAAAATGGTTACGCCTATATAATCCTTACTTGTGCATGTCAGGAATTTCATGAACAAATAAATTCGCTTGTCTACGAAGTTAGTTTATGGTATTTGAAAGTGTTTTTTGGTTCTCTTTTTGTTCGTTTGTTCTTTTAACGAATGAACATACTTCTTTTATCTGTACAAATGTAATTTTGCAGTCTCTAATACGTTAGAAGAAGTCGATTGACTTGCAGTATCATAAAGATTTGGTTAGAAACACGGAATGATGTGCCTGTGTTGAAATTTGCTCCATAGCAAAGCAATCAATGATCTAACTTAGATGCACATCTCTCATCGGTTGAGAGATATACTTTGATGAGAGTATGTAATCAAAGTTGTTCGATAGAGATTCTCGTGGTTTTTTTTCCGCAGGGGAGGGGGGAATCCATATTTAGAAATAAAAGAGGACTTTTTACGTGTTATATGGGCTCATAAAAACATTTAAGGGTTTGGATGTTTTGTCAAAATTACGAGAAAACTACTCAGGGGTTTGCATAACAGCCTCGAACTCGAAATCGTAGTTCCAGCTCATGAAGAAGAGATTCTAATTTTGATTTTGTAATCTTTATTGAACCAAAATTAAATTCACTGCAAAATTGTTGAAGAAATTACGGACATGTGGGTGGACTAAAAAACTGCCTTGAAAACTGATCAGTTGCTATAAACTACTGCGCAAAATAAGAAATGGAAATCTCTAAAAAATCCGGCCAGATAGGCTCAATCATTGCTATATATCTCGCTGTACTGGTAAAAAAATCTACAAAATGTTCGTGTTATAGGGGATCCGTGCGTACCACATTTTGTTACAGAAAATAGTTTTACTGGTCATTCTTCATAATAGACAGCTAGAATTGCCGAACAGGTTCCAATAATTCTTCCTTGGAGCTGACGAATATTCTCAATGCTTCTTGCGCTGTATTTTCGCTGATCTCTAACAACGCACGTGACTTCTTGACGTAACTGCTGAATCAAAGTACCCAGCTCTTCTGTGAAGGGAACTTCAGCGTCCTTCAGCTTGTCAATTCGTTTATTAAAGTCACTTTTCCTACTGCTCAAGGCAATGCGCTGTTTGGCTGTTGAAAGACAATAGCATAGAAATTCAGTACACCCGATTGATGGATACCGCCACTTTATTACAAGAAAGCTTCACTGCTGGGGGAAATTAAAATTGATTCATCAAAAATAAACTTTAAAATCAAATTTTTTTTGCATAAAAGGAAATGAAATACATGTTATAGGAAAGAATCACACATATATGCCATTTTGAAACTGGAATTTAGTGAGGGCCGCCACTGGCGGCGATTGTGACGCTATACGGATGCTACAGATATCTGTACGATCCCCTAGGACTTTAGCAAAGAAAAGAGCTGTTTCTTGGTGATAACAGTGCCAACCATATGACGTCACGCAAGCCAAAACGACAGCCAATGGGAAACTCAAGGATCTGTGTAACATGTAATTCTTTCCAATTTCTTACACATTTTGGTTGTTGTTTCCCATTTGTTCTCACAGAACTTCATACTAGAGAAATTTTCATCAGTTTCACAACAAATTGCTTCACTAAGGGAGGCCTCTGTTAACAGTGGAGAAGGGTAGATGTAGGGAGGAAAGGGAGGGAAGGGAGGGAAGGGAGGAAGAAAGTAGAAAACTCACCCAGCAACTGCTTGATAGCCCGTATGTATGGGACACCTAAATTGGTTCTGTTAACCGCGCGTAAATCCTCGGTCCAGTCATTGACTATCTGCAATACCGACTGCAGTTCAGACCTCTGTTGCTCCATTGTCTTCAACATCCCATTTAAATCATCTATTCTCTTCCGCAGAGCCTGTTGGTTACTGAAGATTTTCTTGACAGGTATGCGCTTTTGTTCATCACCGCTGGAACCTTCGTTGTCGCTGAGCCCACTATCTGACGACAGTGACATCTTTTTATCTGATATAATGGCAAGATGGAACATATTTATTGTCAAAATTTTTTTAAAGAAATTAAAACGACTACAATGTCTGAGAAAGTGTATTTCTCATCTACATCGGTAACTAGGACAACAAAGTACAGAGTACGTGCAGACAATTGGACGCATTCAACAGGACAAAAGTAAACACGTGAACACATACATTACCACCATGGTTTACTGCACGAACATTTTAAGATTACAAACAAACGGACTCCATCAAGCTTGAATAACTGTAAAAGAAACTTGCAGGGTGGTCAGAGGGATGAAGATCACAGTAACAAATTAGTCAAAGAGGGTACAGCCCTTAAATCGGTATACAATCCTATTAATTATACTTATACAGGTTTTCATTATACCAGTTCGTAAGAAAAGTCATTTAATTGTTTCAATGGATCAGCCATTGACTTAAAGAGTAAGATAAAGTCTTGTAAAGACGAACCTTTTGTTTACATAGCTGAATTATCTTCTTATTATGGTAATGTTCCTCAGAGCATGGCTAAGTGAGGAAGGAGGTTTGACGAAACTACTTTATTCACTGCATCCTTACTTCTTGGTTCGCCATTTTGCAATCAGAGTGTATTTTGTATATTGTCTTTGGCTAAAGAAGTCACAGATGTATCTCCCACCTCAAGAATCAATAAATCACCCTCCTAATTAGAGTTCTTATCTAACATGAAAGCTTTATTAAAGCTTTTCACAAGGAATTGCAGACATACCTTTCTGTGACATAGCTTTGTTTTTCTTCGGCATCGCTGCGGCACACCTTACTCCTGCAGCCGAAGATTTAGAGTTACCGGGATATTTTAAAATACCTTTCCTTATAGGAGACTGATACTTAGACGTGGCGCTGCGTTGATCCTTTATGATTATGTCCCCAAACAATTCCGGGACCTTATTTCGACGGGCCTGTCGTGGAGCTGGTTTAACGGAGAGTGCCCTGGAATGCTGAACTCTTTGAGGAAAAAACTGTCTTTGAAACCCTTTGGAGGGTACAATAGAAGGAAATTTCTCAGGGTAACTGTTACAGCTGTTCTTCTTTTGCTTCATCTCGTCTGGCACTCGTTGAGAATTTCGAGTCAATGATGTTTTGATTCGATCGTTTCGTGTCAGATGCGACTTAAGGTTTATGGGATTTAAAGTCATCCGGTAACTATTGGCAATCTTATCCAGACTGACGGAATTTGGTTTTAGTTCTGTAGTTGACTGCTCAGTATTTGTTCTTAAAGTCTGGTTCGCAATGGCTGGTTCGAAGTCTTGCTCGATGCCGCTCTCTTCTTTGTCCTCTGTAGATGTTGAACTGTCACACCGTTCAGATTCGTCTAAAACAGAGAGTTCATCCTTGATACTCTCACTGTCTTTCGTCTCGCTACGACACATGAAATAAAATGAAACATAAGCATACTTACCACGAGCAGAGCAGGTTAGTTTTAAAATGAACAGGCTTTTGCTGTGGAGTCTTTCAGCTATTTTCTTTGAAATTCAATTAGAATAGTATCAAATAAAACAAGAAAGGGTGGAAAACTACAGACCGCTGAAATACACCTGTTAATTTGCTTTTGATCTCGCTTTTCCTTTTGCATTTGAACCAATCATGTTGCTTGGTGAAAGCTTAACACAGCACCTATCATGTGTAAAAGAACTGACGTGGCCATACCTCTCTGTATCAGAAAGCGTCGAAGATTCCAAAACTAAACACAATTCGGATATTTCATGCTTCTTTTCCAAAGTTCTCTCCTCGGCTCTGTCGTCAAGTTTACCGACTGAGTCAGGGACATTTGGTTCAATGTAATTGCCCTCATATGATTCTCTAATCGCTTTTACGTCTGACGTAGATTTCAAAATACACGACATCGGCTGGTTTGCTTTCATGACTGGTTGAGCGGCTTCAAGTTCCTGAAGCAAGAGATGAACATGAGTGTCTTCCAGGATTGCATAGTTTACAATATGTAAATGTGTAAACTGACCTGAAGCTGAGAGTTTGGGTCAACATTTTCTTTCTGAGATTCGGCGTTGTCATCGTCTTCCTGTTTTGATTTGCGAAAGCTGAACAACCTCCGGAGCATATTTTCGCGAATAAATGCGTCCAGGACGAGGTAAACTGTTTAAGGGAAGAAATCATAACTTAGTTGGCTTATAGTTATAAAAAAAATGGTAAAGGAAAATGTTTCTAAACACTAAAAGACGGAAACTGAATTGGAAAAAGAGAATATACAAGTTTACAAGCTACTGATGGATAGGCGATCCATTTCTAAACTAAATAAATACCAACAAAGAGAAACCAATAATGCTGGTTTTGGTCATTTGTAAGAAATAAAAGTCCCCGATGAGCAAGGTGTTCAACAGCTGTCTCGCTATCACGCGTCGCTTGCGAAATCGTGCAAGCGTGTAACAGGTGTTATAACTAATCACGTGTGTCTATCAAGGGCAGACTCAGTGAGTAGAACTTCAGTATAAAACTAAGGTGTAAACAACGCTGTAATTGATATTAAAAATTATGTAGGATTAATATGAAAGAAACAAAGAAACGGCTGGAAAATGTATTAAACTGTAGTTTGTTTAGAAGAGTGATTACGAGCGAGAACGAACTTGCAGCAGGCGGTACTAAAATTATTGACATAATGAGGCAATAAGAATACCTGTTGGATTTGTATCCTCGTTACCTTGCTATGGAAATATAAATACCTTTCTACATCAGTTAAGACGAGTTCCTTGCTGTAATTTACTTTACTCGTGTGGGAATTCTTAGGAAGCCGCAAATTTTGTGACAAATTGCTCCCCTTACCACTTGTTTGTAAATAGCGGGTTAACGTGGGTGGAGTTTATCTTATTGTCAACCGCCTGATAACAAACACCTTACATCATATATTCTTTTAATTTGGTGGGTTAGGGAAATGAGGTTTAGGGCGGGATTTCTCTCACCGTTCAATTTATCAACAATGATTTTAAAGATGGTGATAACGTTGCAATAATGCTCTGAACTTTGAGAGTCTTTTGCCCTTCGCCACTGGTAGACGCTTATGAACTAGGAACTTAGACGGACGCAAAATTTTACCCACCAGCGGAAATTTTCTTTTGCTTTTTGTACAAAAAGAATTTGTCATAACTTATAGTAAAAAACTTGATTGAAAACCAAGAGATAGGAATATTACCGAGAAATGCAGATACAATTTATAGAAAAGTATTCATTTTCCCGCCCGATGCGGGTGATGTTCCCCAAACCTTACTCTATGAATTGAAAGTAATGACAAGGCATAAGAGCAGGTTGTAATATTAACTCAGTGACAATTCCTATTTGTTTCGCTCGAATTAAAACCATTTTTATTCAAACCTATCTGAGAGTGGTCTGCCCAATGACGAAGAAAATACAATGCCATGGTATATTTGAATCGAGACATTATGTTATGAGAGGGTGAATAAACACGAAACTTAAAGAACTTTAAATTTTGACATTTCTCTCAAATTCCTTTCCTGGTGTTTTCTTAGACAAATTACATTGTTAACACGGACACAACCAAAGTTAAGAAAGCAGTTAATATATCTCTCTGACTTACCTCCACGATTACGCTTCTTGTCCGCTGACTGTGATGATACCTTTACTAACGACATAATCAGCACAAGAACTTGTTATATCAACTCAGTGTTTAAAAATTCATGGAAACAACCAGCCTTGGAAGGATTCCACACGAACTCTTAAAATATCGATCAACCGCCTAATGAACTACCTCTTGCTACAGATCAGGTATATGAGGTGCAGCCGCAATCGCGAGGAGTTTGACAATTTAAGGCCCACCGTTTTCGCTTAATCAGCCGAGTTGTGATAAATATCTCACGCACCTGATTTGCCACAAAAAACTGACTTCTCCTGGGCGTTAACAGAGCTAAAGAGACAACCACGCCTTGGACGATAAGGTCACTCGAAAATTTTCCTCACCTGAAAAGCAAACAGTTCCTTAATCTACACGCAAATGTTTACAGAACTTATGACGAGGTCTTAGGAGCAAATAAAGCTGAGAGACATCTGTTCATTGCGCTAAACTCGTATTTGAAAGTACCTCGACTTATGCTGTACCACAAAAATTGTGATTTTTCATCTCAGCATTTTGAATAGAGATACGAAAAGGTGGCAAGAGTAAATTGAGTCACTTCACGTACCTTATACTGTGAGCTCTGTAGGACGCCAGGGGGCTTAAAGGGATTATCACACAACACAACGGAAACTGTCATAACTCTGGACGACTCAAACACGCAACAACAGGGTGGAACCACGCCGTCTTTATTTCTAATCTCAGAGTGGTAGAATGGTACTCAAATTTTTTTAAATTTCGAGGCTGACAAAGGCTTGATTCAGAAAACGACAATTGTAGAAGGAAATGATACCTCAATTTTATGAATCTTAAGGGAACGTTTGGCAAATAAAGCATTCTGTCGTTAGGATTACTATTAACAGAGAAGCAATGTCCGAAAGATAAAGTCCTTAGCTCTAAATCTATGAAAACGCATCCTATTCTAAAAATTGTACATTGACGTTGGTCTATATCATTGTTTGTCGTGTAAGGACCCAGCTCAGCCCACTGGAAGTAGAATACTCAACACGGTAAACAATTCCCTCTCAAAAGTACTCTAACGTGCACTAATAAGTTAGTGAAATAATAACTCTGACCGTGATTGGCGATTTTAAAGCACCTATGGGAAAAAAGTTAGGGAGCCTGATGTCTCTTAACTCATTATAATTGCATTACGTTTTTAATGGAGCCGTAATATTGCCGTGTAAAATAATAAGGATGAAAGTTCTGTCATGATTGGCTATTGTTAGCCTGTGAGCATTGGTGCTGCGCAGAAGCGCGCGAGATTCGAGCAGACGAGTGAAGCGAGCGAGGGATAAGTCTTTAAGGAGTCTGGCACTAAATACAGAAAGACTGGGTTGTATGAACATAAGTATTTCAATGTGGGAATAAGTTACCAGCGATGATGAGTTCGGAAGTTCGAACATAATCTTTCCCCAGTCTTTTTTTTTAAGATTGTTGTTTATTCCATAATCTCTTGACAACCTTTGAAAAAAATGGGCAATTATTTTCGTATAATATCGTCCAGCCCTTTGTTATCTAAGGTTGCTAAGTGTCATGGTAAACAAAAAAGAAATAAAAGGTCAGCATACTTTAAACAAGACAAAAAAAAATGGAATCTCATCTAATTGATATACGTGGAATAACTTACACCAGTGCCTCATGTTTTGGAAAGAGTTGAACGGGATATAATAACGATAGCGATATGCTGAGAGCGCTAGAACATTCACGAGAACCCGCACATTAAGGCTCAATTTAAGCCTAACCTGATCCGGCTTTGATTCAATAAACAACCATTCAACGAGCTAACTACTTGAGTCTAACAGGATTAGACCTGCTGGTAGGTCATTGAGATATGTTCTGTTCACTTCAGTGATCCTATTCGCAGGATGTGAACGAGAATTTTTCCTCCTTCTGTAAAGAGTAGCCCTCTGGCATTCACAGAAAAGTAAATTCAAGACGTGTCAAATAGTTCTTCTCATATTTGTAGAGTGCCTTGCCAGATAATCAAAATATCTCTTTAGCACAAAGTACACTATCAACCACAACTTCAAGACTTACGAAAATCCATTACCAGGCGTCATATTTGATTTCACATATTTTGGTCTTTAGGGACGAGATAAGGAAGAAGATACTGGAGACTTTTCACGATACTGTTCAACAGAAGGATTTTTAAACTTCGTCTTAATTCTAAATTTTTGTAATTGTCAGGATAGCCTGCATGGTATCCGCCCGTTCTTGAGAATTGTTTTGTACGTTTTCACTCTATCATCAGATAGACTTGTTGTTATTGCGGTCATGGTGGGGGTTATTTTGAGGCCTCTAGGTGTTCTCCTGTTATGACGACCGACATACCATAAACAACATACCAATACTTTGTGGTAAAATGCAAAACAAGCTGAAAGTGACAAAGCGATTTTTTCCGTCGATCGAAACACAATTGGAAAATTGCTTGTTCGAAATTATCTTTATCCTGAAATCTCTTTCAGGCTGTGATCATAGTCAACGTTGTGGTAACAGCCTTATGAAAGCAGATAATCATCATGTCTTCATTTACAATGCCTGTTCTGTTCAGACGGAGATCGAACGTCATCTTTTAAGCTTGATGATGGCGAAATAAACAGGAAAGATCAGTAACAAATAGCACGGGGAGTTTAAGTCTGATTCAGTTGCCTACTTTCATAAGCAGAAGAACAGGTGTTGCTCTTAGTTTCCAGATTGGACTCCTACTACGAAAACCAACGATAAACGTTTTTAGAGAATTTCATACCGTTGCCATGGTTGGAAAGTTTCTTTCTGAGTTGCTCAGTGGACCATAAAACGGATCAGTGGCTCTTTTTTTCGTGACTATGTTTATTTACGCTATAATCGAAAAATGTAAATGATAATTTTGCTATCATGACAATGTGTTAGTAGAGGGCTTTTTAAATCTTTTCGGTTGACGGAAAGATACAGTTAGCTTTATTTTTGAATTGCCTATGAAAAACCACAATTTTTCAGATTGATTTTGCCGCAAAACAAGAGTCTAAGTAATCTGGTCGCTGATCTTTACTGCTCGATCAAAATTAGGCTGTAGTTTCAGTTGTACTGTTGAAGTCAAATATTTCTGCAGTGACTGAAGGCACTCATCCTAGTTGTCAAATACGTCACTGCAGGTGACTGTGAATGAACAGGTGGTACCGCACAGTAAACAAACAATCTCAACCGAAGATAGTCATCTATGTATCTAACAGTTAATTGGGAATAAACTAAGCTTAGCTGGCACTTCCACAAGGCACTTAAATGAAAATCAAAAATTAACTGAAACGATAGTAAACCGGCCCTGCAGTTTTCATCTAAGTTATTGACCCACAACTGACCTACGAATTTACAATTAATCAGTTTTAATTGTGGGGACAAATAGACGCTGTACTGACTGTTTTATCAAAGTCTGAGATAAGTAGAATTATCCGGTTATATTTCCCGGTATTCCAAGTATAAGACAGTCTCTAGTGTTCCTATCAGCTCTCCAAGACATTGCGTGATGTCCTCTATTCTAGCAATGTAATCACTTTCGTCACTCGCAATGGAATTGACAAGATTTTGTAGATTTTTGGCGCAGTCCGTGATTTTCTCATGTCCTGATACACTGGAGTCACAGAGGCGCTGTAATGTTCTGTTAAACATGCCGTGTTCGTTGTTAAGCTGGGGCCTTATCTTACCGCAAAGTTCGCGCACTGGTCGAATGCATGGCACCTCAGGACCGTAACGGTCCACTCGTCCGAACGCCTCACTGAGTTTCTTAACAGCATGACAAATGGCCTCTAAATCTCTTTTTTCACCTTGTTTCATGACACTCGGATCTTCACTTTCTGATTTTGCTCTTTTTCTACAATTTCTGTTTCCACGCGCGTTGCTTCTTTCTTGAATTTCCATTGCTACTTTGTTGACATTTTCAAGACTCTTCCAGGTTCGACGCAAACTGCTCCATTGTGGGCGAGCGTCCTGTTTACAGCTCATTGCAAGCAAATTTGGCTTTTTTTCAAAATTATCAGGGCGTGGAGTCCGTTAACCAAGTTTGGATGTACGGTTTAAAGTAAGGTGAATCAAGGATATACAATTTTGTTAAATATAGATCCTGACCTCATGCCACCTGATCTTACTGGGTAATGCCTCCCAAACGAACGGAAACGGAGCGAACATTGCACGAACGGCCAACGATCATTTACAATCTACACTTCGGCAGTGATCGACCAATCTCGTTCTCAGGCCTCCCCTCCTCCTCCAAAGTAATTGGGGAGAAAAAGGGTTGAAAATGAGGCTGTTTGAGCAGCTGCAGCTGCACAAATGCGTAAGTGACCAAACTTGAGGTCAAGATGGCTGATGTTGCATATTGGCTGAGTTCTTTTTTTTCTTTGTTTGCGTTTTTATGAACCGAGACTTTGTTGTGGTCCATGGCTGGATATTGGCCGAGTTCCTTTTTTTTCTTTGTTTGCGTTTTTATGGACCGAGATGATGTTGTGGTCGATAAAAAATTACGGACTTTATAAGTCCGCTCTCAAGCAATTTATTTACCTACGTGGGATCAAAGCAGGCAATCCCGAGCGGGCAAGATCGGCTCGGGTAGCCAATCAGAACACAGGATTCGCTTCATATTTATCCCGGGCACTGCCAGCGATGTAATTAAGTGGTACCGCCCAACCAAAATCAATGCACATATATAAAAGATCATTCGGATGAATAGCGTGGGCCATGACGGGAAATTTTTTTAGTATTTTTTAGTATTTCAGAGGTCTTTGGAGAAAGTCTTGCGTATCACTGTTTTGGAACGATGCCTTTTCCGATGATTGTCATTTCACTCTTTGAAATTCATATGGTGCTTAATAGTTTCCGACAGTTTACACGAGGTGGAAAGCAGTATAGCTGAAATGGTTCCCAAGAGAGTAATTTTTGTTCTTGAATGCTTTGTATGTCGGCTTAACGCTCTAAATAAAGGCGTCGGTCTTTCGGATGGCTTACCACATCCTGTTGACCCAGCTGATGACCCTGTGTTGTTTGTGAATAATTTTGTAACAAAAGCCTAATTCTTTGCACTTCCTTTACGAAGAAATTAAACACAGGATTATTTTTAACATACCATTTAAAAGGATTGTAACTAGATCTGTGCACGTACCAACAACCCGGAAATTGTCTATATTCTGTAAAATGCCCAGATTTTTGCTCAAATTGTAATTTTCCTTTAAGTAGAGATTCTTCGTCCCTACGTAGTTACATTCTTCTAATTACTTGGTCAATATGAATTCAGAGGAAGTAGGCCAAAAATAGTCTACAATCAAAGCTCACCCCTGTCTGAGCATAACAGGAATTAAGTCAGTGTCACGGCTTGTAAATTTTTTCTTCCGTAATGATCTGTCAATCGATATTAATACCCCTTCTGAGTTTCCGCAAGGTTTGATACTACTTCCTGTCAACCTGAATTTGGTAATATTCCAAATTGCATGTTTCCGACCTCCATTACGAACAAACAGATTGTTCTTGGAAAACAATCCTTATAACCTCGAAATTTGAACAAAGTTGTTTACTGCCGTTTTAATAGATTAAAAACAATTGGAACCACAAAAATGTCTTTAAAATTTGTTGAATTTTATTGCTTATAACGTAACACTGCATTTAACGCAAAGTATAAGTGGGACATATTCCAATAGAATATTGTTATAAATATACTAACTATTTAATTCCCCATATCTAAACATAATAAATAAATGAAATCACTCAATTTAATTAGCAACTAAAAGAGGTGAAGCCTTGCTAGAAACAGAACAATAAGTTACTGCTGTGATAAGAGCATATCTTGATAAAGAACTTCAATATTTCAGGTAGCAAACAAAGTCCATCTGAATTCAAGGAGACAAAATTTACAATAATTTATTAATATGAACTTTATTGCTCTCAGGGAGTCAGACAAACTAAAGATAAAAGATAAAAATATCAAAATCAATTAACCACTGTTTATATCAACTAAAACTGTTAATTATAAGTTAAACAGACCAACCTAAAGAGTCAAATTCCTGTCAATAATAATGATGGCAAAATTATCCTTTAAATTCAATTTGTAGTGGTGCTTAGTTAAACCTAAGCAAAATTAGTGCAAATAAATATTTAGGTCACTTCTTTCTTGTATTTTTACATTCTTTAGTCACTCCCTACAATTTGGGTAGTGAAGTATAATTCTCCATAAATAAATTAAATTTTTGCAACTAAATTTGACTCTTTAGATGTCTTTAAGGGTGTTATACATAATAGTGCAAATGTAATTAAAATTCTGTGATATGCGAGGGATGGCCTCACCAATAAATAAGTTTAAATTCGAAGAAAAGTTTAGCTGCTATTTACACTAGTATGAGCTGTTTCAAATCCCTGTAAAAGTTATTTCTTTGAAAAAAGGAGCATCTTTAACTGGTGGCAATGAGTTTTCTCATAACAGTAATTAAGAAACTCTGTGCCGAATATTTCAACCTTTGAAGATTCTTTTTTTAAAAAAGAAAGTCTAAAAAATTAAGACTGTTTTATCTTTTATGCATGAGTAGGTATAGTCTTTGATTTGAAAACATATTTCTATTTCACTTTCTGTATCATAAAAGATCATCCTACACTTGGAATAAAACACACCTACTGCACAAACAATAGTTGCCTTTGCTGGTTTTAAAATTCCCAAACAATTGTATAGTCTTGTGAACATAATTAAATTACCCTGGAAAATCACCTAGGGAAAAAAACCTTATCAAATATAATCAACCCTAATCTAAAGAATGATTTTATGGCTTTTCTTTCACATGAAAAAGGATGAAAACTAGCTCGGAAGAATTTGTTATCTTAACAAGTTTGATTAGGTTCTTGATCTTTAACAGAGGAATGGTTCAAGATGCACCATTTAACACTGAAAAGGACAGCCACAATTTATGCTTTTTTTAAATTCCATGAAGCTGATTGTCACCAGCCTTGCTGGTACAATAGGTATTTCTTCATTGGAACTGGAATAGGAAGCTTGTCTACATTTCCTTTTGTTAGGTGCTCTTTTCCAATGGATTTGCGTATTGTACGTCTGCAGAGATCCATCAGAGGTTGAGGTTCAGCTACAAGAAAAAAAAGAAAAAAAGGATCATGAGCAAGGTTGGAAAAAAATTTTCTCCTAGTATATACATTTACCAATATTGCAAACACAGTCATGCAAATTCTATACTAAAGCCAATTGCCTCAGCTCAACTGCACAAGTTATCAACTTTCAGTTATTGACAGATATTTCTATTTTTCCATGATTATCGAAATCAGTCTATTCATTTTGCTGTTGTCATTTTTTTCTGGCCTGGAAATTTTATACCTCTATAAAAAACTACATTAGTCAGCACTTTATAAAGTAAAGAACCTTCAGACAGCATACTACTCAACATGAAAAAAGGTTCTTAAGAAAAGAATTGTCTCATAAACATAGCAACAGGTGTCCTGGTCCAAAGCATGAGTGAGTCACTTAGTAACCAGGCAGCCTTACCAACTATTTCTTACTGTGTTGAGTTTTACAATAATTTCTTTTTTTCATTGTAAATACCTGGATATAAACTGATAGATTTGATCGACTTGACTCAGAGGTAAATTTGCTCTAGAATCATTATATTGCTAAGACCGAAATCTTCTCAGTTTGAAACAACAATAAGGGTAAAAGTTTTGATCACAAAAAAAATGTGAAATATCCTTCATATTTATTCTTAAGTGTCATCATTATTTCAACAGTATAGGATTTCTTTTTTGTCGGCAATGAATTTTGGTTTCCTGTGGTAGGAAATTTTGACAAGGTTGGTAAGGAAAGGTAATTCATGTTCTCATACCCTGCCTTATTAGAAAAATGTGCGATTCTTTGATATGATTTTTGAATTCTAAAAGCTGACCTACTTTTGAATGGTTTTGTGGCAAACGCTTTCAACGTTCTCTACATGCAACAGGTGGTTTGGCACGCGCCACGCTCATTGCACCAAAATAGCTGCTATGTGATCTCATTGTTCCTTTGTTTGCACCCAGCTTTAGGGATAAAAAAATCTTACAGAGAGAGACAACTTCTCAAAGCCTCCGATACAATACAAAGGCTATTTCCATATTGTTAAAATGGAAAAAAACAGTTATAGTGGAAACTTGACAAATTCTCTCAGGCGGAAATGACAAGTACGGTCCCAACGGATAAGAAGACTTCGCTCCAAATGAAATATTAATTTCCATTCACCCATTGAAACAATAAAATCGGAAGCGAAGATACTGTCTTAATTTTGCTGAGCTTTTGAGATAAACTTTAAGCGAAAAAAAAATGATAAAAACCGCTAAAAACTATGGCAAATATATATTCAAGACATAAACAAAACGAATCCGCTCATCAAGAAGAGGCACATGAATCAATGAGACGAACGAAACTATTCCTACTAGAAAAGCATGGGCTTTCAGTTTCGATATCTTCTTGCTTCTTTAGAAACTATTTGACCGAATGGATTTGGAAAACGATAGGTTAAGGAAAAGCGAAATTTTTTGTTTCTCGAAAACCGTAACGCAGATCGATGAGGTCATTTTCTCATGTGACGTAAGGGAAGTTAAAATCACATGGGAATGAATATTTCAACCCCAAAACATGGCAATACATTTTTTTACGATCAATTTTAAATTCCTCTGTCAAAAGGATGAGGAATAGAAGAACTGAATCAGTAAAAAATAAAGATCTGTTTCAACAGCTATTGACGGGCAAAACATACAATATGACAAGTTTAGTGAAAAAAGAACTGTAAACAATGGGTCTGCGTTCATGCACGAAACAAAGGACTACTAACACAGAGAGAATTCGCTGGCAAAAAGAAAAAGTGCTACTTACGATCTAGTCCACCGATGTATTTCATAGTGATTTCACAATGTCCCCACACGGCTGAGACTATAGGGTATACAGTTTTCCCTTTCATTCCACGGAAAGCGACTCCTAAATAGCGTCCATCGTTCGTTTCAAAAGCCATAGTTCCTTCATCCATGTCCAATATAACGCGAAATTTGTCAGGTACCACAAAGCTATGATCATTGTCAGACAAAACTGGATACTTTACTGACGAAACGTTCTTTTCGTTGTGGTAGAGCTTGTTTCTAACAATGTCCCATCCCCAACTATCCTCGTTGTTGCCGACCAAGGATTGATAGCCAGTACAGTGAAGAAGGGCTTTTGATGTAGCTACCCCTACTACTGCGTGTGTCCCACGTTGTCGGGTTGACCACTGAATCTCCCAGACGTGAAAACCTCGACTATAACCCTTTTTTCCTCGTATGCAGTCCGTACTCTGTGCTACTGGATGTCTGTGAAAGGTAAACGGGTCGTCGTCTTTGACGAAAATGTTAACCGATCGATCGTTCGGGTTCCAAGCATGTTCTAACAAAGCCTCTTCCGGTAGAGGTGGACGATCGAGTAAAATGTCTAATTTTTCTGGTCTCGCCAAGTCTCTGGCCCGATCTTCTTCTTGAAAGACATTGAGCGATTTATAAACCCCTTGTCTATTGTCATTGTGGTCGTTCCTTTTCACGGCCGATATTCTTGATCCCATGTCGAGAAAGGGATAGTAGAAGAGAGAAGTGTAACTGGGATGTAAAGGATCCAACGTGGAGGCTTGACGCACTCTTGAAAATATTCTCAAGTTGTTTTCTCGAGGTGATTACAGGTCCCAATTTCTACCTATCATTCAAACTTTCTTTGAGTCAAGATTTTACAACCTTTCCTCCGACCAAAAATATTTAAAGCGTTCCGACTTGTTTCAAAAGAACGTTCTATTCAACGAAATCAAAACTCGCATGAAATACGTGCGTGCTTGTCTGAATTGACTCACGTAATTTCTCGGTGAGAATGTGGTTGGCTTTAACTAAGACAGTGGTTAAGTCTTGGCTAAACCTTTGAAGGCGACTTTCGTAACTTACCAGTTCTTCTTAAGAATGAATGAGAGTTTTTGCTGAGACTCCTTTCAAGCGACCGATGAATGCCCTTTGTTGTGCTAAGAAAATTTTCAGTTCAATGTTATTTATATCCTCGAACAAGTGAATGGAGACTCTCACGCATGCGTTATAACCAGTCAAGCGTGAATGGTTTATTACAACGTGTATCACACGAGCTTCATACCGACTTCCGGTTTGCGTGAAAACACGTTCTCCCGGATACGAGAATTATCACAGGGATGGCTGTTGCCGTGTTCACCGCTTCAATAAGAAAGCATTTTTCATTTTCGAGATAAGTAAATGAAATTTCTCATTCTTTAACATAATGATGAGAAAGTTAAAGCAAGATTTCCTTTAAATATTCTTTTTATTTTAAAGCTCGAAACCGAAGCGAATTCCATTCAACTGTTATCAGCGTCAAAGTTGTATGGCAATCAATATTTAATCGTTCAATAGCAAGGAGGACATTGACTCTAAGTGAAACAGGTGATTTTAGCACAAGTTCAATAGAGCATAAGAATAACATGTGTTCGCTGTGTGCAACAGAACGACCAAAACAGTAAAGTAAACTGCTGTAAATTTCATTTTGAATCATCTACTACTTGATCGCGTGGCTTATTTTCGATCGATTATATCATGACTTAAAAACTGTTTCGTGACCGATGGTTTTGAGTGCATAAAGAACTGATAATCCAAGGTTTTGTCAAACTGATGAGCAAGGCTTAAAAACAGTTAAATTTTCCTTCAGTGCTGAACGCATGAATGAGCCACACGCAATCGAAAGATAAATTTCAGAACTCTTTTGCACTTACCTCAGCCTTCACTTATTACGATCATTTTAAATTTTGCCCAAAATTCGTGAAATGATACAAAAATTACAGTTATTTGTTTTTTTGAAGAAGACATCTTTTTCAGAGCCAAGGAAATCCAAAGGGAGGAAAAAGCACGCTCCAGCGCCTAAAGTAACTGTCGGTTATGGCTTAATAAATGTCGTCGAGACGATTGCTGTGCATTTTAATTTCAAAAGCACTATTCACTTCCCTTTAGTTTTCATGCCAATTTAGTCCCAACCCTCCCCTTCAACATTTGTAGGCCAAACTCCACGACAAGTTTGTGACATTGCGTGTGCTACGCGCGCGTTCTGCGTGGGTTTACTTTTTTGCGTCATTCGGGCGTTTGCGGTTGACGTGATGAAATTCCCGCCCGGACGTAAACATTGCCGCTTCGTGAAACATTTCAAAGTAGCGAAGACTTCTCGTGAATTTCAAATTTTCCAGGAATGTCATTTTACTGTCTGTATTGTTCAAGATATTGGGTAGGAAAAATCCTACATGATCGTGATCGAAGATTTGATCAAGAAAATTCATTGAGACGTGACATTGCATGATTGCCGTCATGTTTGCCTACTGATCCCATATTTATCGGGGTCACGGTTTCCATGACATTCAAGTACTTTCTCGTAAGTTCGATGCAGGGTTCAAAATTTCATTGAATAATGCTGGCTGTATCATTATTTTGACAAGCTTTCATCTGAGACAGCAATGAACAAAACCAAATTCGTGACTTTCACTTTAGTTGCGTGTAACGATTTGATGACTGCGATAAATGAACCGTTGAATATATAATTAGTTCATGCAAACTGAAATAGAACGGAAAGCAGAAGGAAGTCAAGTGCTGCGAACCACGCAACTCCTGTTTATCGTTTGTATCAGGAGGTCATGCTCTGAATAAATTGAAAATAATGTCGGCCACTGTATATAACGGCATATAATTTTGCGCGTTGCTGTTGAATTGAGATTACAGTGTACATTTGAGACAAATTTCATTGCGTGACCAGAAAATCAAACGTGTTAGTCAATCTATAGCATATATCATAAGTTTCTAAATTCTTTGTTTTCATGCAGTTTAAGACTAAAATGGCAAAGTCTTTAAAAACCTCTGTGATTACACAATAATGAAGGATTATGCTCTTATCTGCTGGGAGTTAATCCTTCATTGTCGAGAAGCACACGTAAAAATACTTTACTGAGGGTCCTGTAGGGACCTCAATTCTATGGGTGTATCGGCTCTCAACCCACGAATAAGGAATTGTGGTCGTGGTCTTGTTACGAGACTAACCTGGCCTTTGGCTTCATACGACGTTAGCCACCCAGGCTTCCGTAGCAATTACGTCTCTCGTGAATCCTGTCACTCTTTCTCGATACTTTTCTAAAGTTCTCATAGAAAGCTCAGATATTGACAAAGTACAGGAGTCCATTGGCTCCTGCAAAGTATCACTCTAAATAAATTCTATTTACTTCGTACACAATCGAGAGGCCGTTGGAGGAAAGAGCGGGTGTGACATTGCACCCGTTTTCGAAAACGACTCCTACTGCTGAGAGCATTCACCCCAGAAAACACTTTATGAGTTTATCCACGCGTTTGTTCAAAACAGCAGAGACTAATAAAATGGATTGCCTAAAAGTTGTGTGCATTCGATCTAAATTTACATCTTCGATGAAAAAGAATCTGATTCACTAGCACTAAAGAATCTGTCCAATCTGCCAATAAACTTGTAAGGCAACCGCTAGAAAGAAGTTGTTGGTTGGGGGAAGCGGAGCGGGATCATTATTACATCGAAGAGAGGGGGTGGGCAAGGGGGGG